AAATCTGTTCATGGAGGGAGATGTAATGAGTGATCGAAAACACAGGGCTTTTTCTTTAGAAAGCCACCACTAGGATCCTAAACAGGAATATTTAAATGGCTCCTTTCAAGAGATGAATTTCAGAGCTGGACTCTACCCCAGTATATCCAGGCATCTCTTCCCACCATTGACAGCCAGAATTGATTTCTAAATTAGCTCTGTTCTCTAGTGGCTTACGAATCTTTGACTTCATCATGGCAGGTCCCCCTGGAGCAAAACAAACAAGCCCGAGGCTGAAGCAAGAAACTGTTAGGTCAGTTTGGTAGACCAAAGTCAAAGATTATTCAGCCACTCAAAAGATGAATCTGTAGAAAGGAGGTTTGGTGACTGAAATGAGCAGAGGGAGGGGGGTGACACATCCATTTGCTCTTTAGGGTACTATTTTCATTCCTTAATCCCATGCAACAAGGTCCACCCCCTTCTTATGGGAATGCTATTTTTGTTCACTGGTCACTGAGTTTAAAACTTTGCAGTCCCTGGGGTAGGGTTGCCAGCCCCCAGGTGGGAGCAGAGATCCCCCAATTAGGTGGGCTCCAATCTGCTGCTGGTCAGCTGGCCAGCAGGGAAAAACCCCACCCCCACCACCCAACACAACATCCCCAGCGTGATGTCACGTGCAGAGGTCGATTGGGGGGGATTGCCGTTCCCCCAGGTGAGGTGCGGGGGGCGGGGCACATGATGAAACCCCGCCCCCTGCTTCCGGCTGCCCCGCTTCCAGCACTCCAAGCCCCGCCCCCTGCTTCCGGCTGCCCCGCTTCCAGCCCTCATTCAGACAGGAGGAGGCAGGAGAAGAGGGAGGGTAAGTTGCTTCCCCCCCGCCTCTCCCCCCCCCTGCCTGCCTGGGGCCAGGGAGGACCTTGACGGGGCTTCCTCGCACTCCCGCCAGCCTTGCAGGTCCACCGCCGGGCCCCTGATGTCAGGGGGTGTGGCATATGCTAATGAGTTATGCTAATGAGTTCCCCTAACTCTTTTTCTACGAAACAGCCCCTGGTCATGTGGATGTAATGTCATCATGCTGGGGACACCATGCAGCGACACTCCAGTATTTTGGGCAAAACTCTATGGTGACCGTGCTGGGCCCTCATGTGTGGTGACATTGCCCCGCTCCTACACTTCAGTGAGCTCCCTCCCGCCCCCCACCAGGGAACAAAGAGGACCTGGCAACCCTACCCAGGGGTAAGGGAGGGAGCGAGGATGAGGAGGAAGTACAACACCAGAGACCTGATTGGAGGGGGAAAAAAATAGACCACAGATTTATTGAATGCAATTGGGGGAGCATTGGTACAGCATGGGGATGTCTCCTGCATTTGACAACCCACTTGCTGCCCAATGTGTGGAATGGCAAACCTTGGAATCCACAAAAACAACAATACAGTCCACAGTAAACAATGACCGAGAAAAAACAATAAATAACAACTATGCACTGACCAACCCACCCAAGAGCAATAGAAAAGAGACTTCAATGCAATAAGTAATGCATGTAATCCATCATAGAACGATACACAAATTCATAATATCCCAAAGGGAAAGAACAACGTCCAGAATAACAATCTCTCATAACAATCAAGTCTGGAATAGATGTCCACAATGAAGTCAGATGTCCACCACTTTTCAACACTTTTCCTAGGTATGAATTAGTGTTTCGGACTTCAGGTCCTTCCTCAGGAGCTACAAGCTATAAAAATAGAATACATCATACTAATAAACCACATAATATTTCACAACCTTTTCATATCAATTTTTTTTATCAACACTGAACAATAAGGTTGTGAAATATTATGTGGTTTATATGTTTGTATTGTATTTTATTAGTATGATGTATTCTATTTTTATAGCTTGTAGCTATAAATAGTATTCTGGACTTTGTTCTTTCCCTTTGGGATATTATGAATTTGTGTATTATCCTATGATGGATTACATGCATTACTTATTGTATTGAAGTCTCTTTTCTATTGCTCTTGGGTGGGTTGGTCAGTGCACAGTTGTTATTTATTGGTTGTTCTCGGTCAAACCTTGGAATCCCACAGGGGCACAAGCCACCGCATGGTTCTTTTGCCACCTGATGGTGAGGCCCAGCCAATAGCTCCTGAACTCGACATGCCACTATATGGCTGTACCCCTAAACCCCCTTAAGAGAGCTCCCAAGACAGAAGAAGTGGACATACTGGAACAGCCTCCCCCCCAAATGGAATTCACTGGCATTCACTGCTGCAAGGACAGGTAGTGGCTACAAGTATAGTCAGTTTCAAGAGGGGATTGGATGGTTCTATGATTCTTACCATTGTAAATCCAGGTGTCATTTTGTAGGAAAAGAGCTAGGGGGACTCATTAGCATAACTCATTAGCATATGCCACACCCCCTGACATCACCGGAAGTGTGTCCTCCCCACAGCCGGTGGCGACCTCCAGCGGGCACCAGCAGGGAGCTCCAGGCCCCGCCCTCCCGCACCTCACCCGGGGGGATGGCGTCCCCCCGCGTCCCCCCCAAATGACCCCTGTGTAAATCACATAAATTTTTAATACATGGACAATGAGGAACAGACTTTTGTCAGAGAGCAATAACCTGGGTTATTTCTTCATGCCCCTTGGGCAGCACCCCAGACTGTGAGTCCTCACGGGTAAAATACACACAAGCAAAGCAGACCTCTAAAATATATAAAGTTTTATGAAAGGATTAAAAAAGATATTACTACACAGTGCAATCTTCACAGCTCAGAAACAAAGAAAATAAAGAAACTAGCTGTTCTGTCCGATACATTGGGTGTTAGATGGCAAATCTTGCAGCATACAATCCAAGCAGTAGCCTAGGTGCATTCTCTACATTGCAATCCATAATGATGAAGCATAACATATCAGAGCATACTAGGCAAGGCATGATCACAGAATTAGCATGGCTTCTCTCAGGCCCATATCCTTGTTTTGTTTTTGTTTGTTTTTTTTAAAAAATGTCACTCATGGTTTTCACTCATGGATTTATTATCATCATATACCCGTGTTATAGCTTTTGCCCTCTCACATCAGGTGGTCTCTTGACTCCAATCAGGAATTCCCTTTGATGGAAGCTTCCAGAAGATGTTCCTAATTCCCCCCTCCCATCTGGTTATGCAACTGAGCACAGGTTCTCAGGCTTAACCAATTACTAGGTTGTTGAGCCTGGCCTTGAAAGAGATCAAGATGGTGGCTGCAGGAAGTTCCAAATCACAAACATCTGCAGACCAGACTAGGCCCTCTAATAATCACGTTAACCCTTGAGGGAAATTCGGGTGCTTTGCCTCACAACTTGTCATAAATAAATAATAAATAGGATAAAAATAGGATACTCAAAAGTTATATACTGGACCTCCTTCCTTGTTCTAGCACTGTTTAAGCGTTTTGATTAATTATTTTATAATTTGAAATGTATTTTAAATTGTTCAAGAGTGTTAATGATTTTTATGTTTGCCACCTTGGGAACCCTGATCAAATGGAAAGGCAGCATAAAAATGCTCTAACTAAATAAATAATATAAAATTGAACAAGCTGGGTCATATAAATAACCAGGAGTCAGTGTGAGTTAGTGTGAGCTGGCTCACAGTTTTTTAGCCTCCAGCTCAGACATTTTTGTCTTCGCTCAGGAAGGAGGGCTCCAGAGCAAACTAATTGATGCAGCAGCCAAATTGCTCGCTCACAACTTTAATGCCAGAAGCTCACAAAGTAGAACTTTTGCTCACAAGACTCCACAGCTTAGAGGGAACATTGCCAGGAGTCATATTTGATGATGAATTATGTTGGAAATAGCCATATTGAATCAATTCTAGTTAAGCCAAAAGGGAGATCAGAGTGACTAGTGCGCACTACATACCTGTGCAGCACTCCAATTATTACAACAAAGATCAGTTTCTATATGCAGTCCCGGTTTGGATATAGGTGGTTACACCTTCTATTGAATTTCCATTTAATTTTTGAGAAGAATCCTACAAGTGCCTAGGCATGCATTTTCTATGACTCTCAATTAGAAATTGGTATCACATCACTTGTAAACTTGGCCTGGCTACCAAGCCTTTACATTTCGAATCTGACTCTCGTTCATCAACAATCAGAACAAATTTCTTTGTAGCCTAATAACCAATCCTTATGCTGTATCAGAAGAGAAATTCACCACATTGGGTCTTTGCCCTGCTTTTTAAAAAGCCAGTGGGGATAAGAGTAGCTTTTTTTTTTTTAAAGCAATCAATGACTGTATGAAGGATACCGATTTTCAAGAAACTTTGGCTAAAGCCTGCCAAGTGTGTTCTCCCCTTTTATTCAATTTAGCTTCAACAATCCCACATCAGTATGTACATTCTCTGAGCAGATGATCCAACCAAAGGATTACTATATTGACCAAAGAACTGCAGCATGTGTTGCTAAATTTCTGTTATCTGCAATGAAAATATGGGTCAAAATAATGTCCTGTGTATAATTTATTCAGATTCTAACCCTTACACTGTTAGATATACTAGATTGAATGATATCTGTAGAGAAATGAATGATATACGAGAAATAATAATGTAGATATATATAGGAATAATGATATTTGTAGAGAATAAAAGAAATTAATAAATTGGGTATTTTTGTGATTCTCTATGGCTCGTGAGTCATATTAAAGGTTGATTGACTGATATTCAGAAGTTGGAGACATTTTGCAAAGATGTTCCTGGCTTGGGACAATTTTTGGTGCTGAACTATTCCTGACTGCAGTGTCAACCGAGTCTTTGCAAACATTGGTAACAAATGGGGTTTTGCCTTTTAAACAAGAAAAGGAAGGAAACCTCCTATTTGCTTCATTCATTTATTATGTAAACATTATGTACACTGATACTGTGATATTGATAACATAATGTTGAGATCAATAGAATCACACATAAAGAATCACACAGAAAAATGGCTAGATATATTTATACAGAAAGGATATCAGTATGGACACTGAGTCTGGAAGTGATTTATTTCTCTACTTTGCTCCCGATCAGCCTCGATAAGGCTCCCTTCACATCCCTGTTTCTCAGGCTGTAAATCAAGGGATTGAGCATTGGGGTCACTACCCCATAAAAGACAGCCACTATTTTTTCCCTATCTGTGAATGTCTTGGCCTGAGGCTTCAGGTATCCAGCTAAGGCAGTGCCATAGAAGATGCCCACCACAGCCAGGTGAGAGCCACAGGTGGAAAAAGCTTTGCCCCGGCCTTCAGCTGAGCGAATTCGCAGGACAGCCAGACCAATGCGCCCATAGGTCAGCAGGATGAAAGCAAAGGGGAACAAAAGAGTGAAAACACTCGTTATCATCATGCTAAGCCCATTGGCGTGAGTGTCAGAGCAGGCCAATTTCAACACTGCTTGGACCTCACATGTAAAATGATTCACCACATTGCGGCCACACAAGCGTGCCTGCATGCTAAAAAAGGGGACAATGGTCAAGAGGAAAGAGCTGAGCCACAGGCTGACGGCCAGGATGATGCAAACCTTCTGGCTCATGATCAAGCTATAGTGCAGCGGGCTGCATATTGCCACAAAGCGGTCATAAGCCATGACAGCTAGTAAGAGGCACTCAGCCACACCTAAAAATAGGCCAATGCTCATTTGTGCAAAACACCTGCCCAGGGGTATAACGGGCTTGTCTTTGAAGCCATGTGCCAGCATCTGTGGGACAGAGTTAGTGACATAGCAGACATCGATGAAGGAGAGGTTGCTGAGGAAGAAATACATAGGTGTGTGGAGGTGGGAATCCATCGCAATCAACAACACAATGAGACCGTTCCCAGCTACGGTGATGGCATACATGACCAAGAAGAGGACGAACAAGGCGGCGCGTATGTGGGGTTGTCTGGAGAAGCCCACAAGCACAAACTCAGTCACAGTGGTTGCGTTATCCCAATCTTCCATATTTCCTGTAAAAGGGGAATGTAGAATTATAGTAATATCTGTATGGAATTCCATCTTCCAAACATGCCAGTGCATCATTTGGTTAAATTTCCAAATGGAAGATCAGATGAACATCTCTCTTTTTTTGTCAACGAGTTGGACACAGAGTAGGGGAGAGTATGCATGCAATAGAGATTGTGTGCCTTTCCAGTCTCAACCACATCAACTGTGCCAGTGCACAATTTACAATACATTACTAGATTAATTACATTTCTAGGTGAATCTGATTTTACCCATTGAGATCAGCATCTGTGGAGAAAGCAAGCTGATTTTAAGCAAGACGTTAAATTGTAGTGGGAAAGGGATCCGTAACCAGATGAAACGAGTATGCATGCAATACAGATTGTGTGCCTTTCCAGTCTCAACTACATCAACTGTGCCAGTCCACAATTTACAATACATTACTAGATTAATTACATTTCTAGGTGAATCTGACTTTACCCATTGAGATCAGCATCTGTGGAGAAAGCAAGCTGATTTTAAGCAAGACGTTAAATTGTAGTGGGAAAGGGATCCGTAACCAGATGAAACCAGATGAAACTGAGTAATGCATTTCAAATGCCCGTCACTTTTTGTTTTGACGGCTTCCCAGTGATTGTTTAGTTTGTACAATATTTATGTGGGCCCCTTGTTGCATCCTTGAGGAAAAATCATACCATGTTTTGCAGTGAGGGTGGATAAGGTTTTCATACTGTGTTCCAAAGTGGTCAAGTTAATGTTGGAAATATGTGAGGTGCAAGGTCTAGATTTCAGTCATTATAGGGTTAATCTCCTTTATCTAGTGTACTGTTGTTTAGACTGACCTGGAAGGGAAACTTGGCTCAGAGCCAATGGGAAGATAGCCTGGGAAAATCTAAGTCTGTTTACCAGCAATCATTGGTTACTGTGTTCAGGTGACTTCCTTCTAGGGGTCAAGAAGAAGAAGAATCTCCATTGTTGTGTGTGACCATGTGTTCTGTGCTGTAAGGATGTAAAGATGTAGGTCAAGATATCTCTTTTGTTTTGCAGTTTTCCATGTAGTCTTCCTTAGAAATAAAGACTTTTTTTCATAGAAAGTAATGTCTCCTCTCCAGTGAAGCAAAGATCCATTGGAAACTCTGAGTATTTAAGTATTTTTGCCTGTTTTCCCAACAGTTAATTCTGTTTCAAGCACAGGAGGGAGAAGAATAGTTGAAGGATGACTTACGTAGCCTTTCTGAATGCTGATCCAGGGCCACATTAGAGGATACATTTTTTTTTTAATAGCCAGGCATGGGTAGCTGAAAAATGGTGGAATATATTTTATTTTAAGATTATTAATAACTATTATAGGTGGATGAGAGTGGGCACCCCAACAGGCTAACCAATGGGTTCTCCAGTGCTTGTGCCCTCCTGCCCTGGCTCCAGGCACTTAGTTACTAACTTGGCAGCTCTTTCTTCATCTCCTATGGCAGATCAAAAATGTACTGAGAGATGCCACTGATCAAGGCTACTCCCCCACACTGGTCAGCATGAAGATTCAGGAATTGGCCTGCAGCAGTGAGGGAGTCTCTTTCCCCAACACTTGGATAGGACAGTCCAGGCCCATAGCTACAGTGGGGCATCTCAGGGCCCAGCCCCCTGACTTACTGCCAAGCCCTCCCCGACTTCCCATCCAGCCCAGGTCCTTTGAGGGGGTGCAGGAGTGTGTGCATGGTGCCCCCGGACTTATTTAAAGGGCCCCCAAATTTTAAAAATCCTGGCTACGGGCCTGGGAGTCCAAAGTGTTCAATTTGGCTACATCTCCTCATCTTAAGGTACCTCTGGGCGTTCGTGTGTTCTAGATGTCTCTTTCTATATAGCATTTTATTTCTAAATACTGTAGACATGTGATTTTATTCTAGAGCTATTATTGCCTTAAATGCTGTATGAAATTGGAATTTGGGTGACATTGGTGGTTTTAAGTTGTTATGTGAACCTTAAGGGAGTTATGGGACAGTTGTGAATGGTGTGTGAGTGTATATGAATATGTTGTAGATCACCGAAATGATTGCATCCTTAATTCCGTTGTACTATGTACAATGACAATAAAGTATATTATTATTATTATTATTATTTTTGACTGTCGAGTCGCAGCCAGCTTCTGGCGCCCCCTGTAGGCTTTTCAAGGCAGGAGAT